TTCCATCAGAACACCTGACCCAGAGGGACACAGACATCATAGACATTGGAGTTGGGGTGGGGGGGGGAGAGAAGCTGATAGAAGACTTCTCCTGGCACAATCTCACATGTGAAGGAGACAGCAACATCACTGATTCTGTGGAGGATGGAACACAGGATCTGTAGGAGAGACCCTACTAATTCTCTTTGAAAACTTGTTCTGACATAAGATGGCATTACCCAGGGAAGGGCAGTATGGGGAAGTATTTTAACAACAATGCTTCTAAGTCTTGTCAGGCCCTTCAGGGAAAAGAATTTAATGTTGGAGAGGTTTCACTGCAGGAGAGTTGGGAACAAATGGTCTCCATAAAGGCACCATAAGTAGAGCATACAGACAGAACATACATGGAGGTGTGGGGGATTCTTCTGTGGAAATTATTTGGGATGCATATGATAAACATAGGTAGCCACTTAAAAAGAAAAAGACCACAATTTTTAAAGGACTCTGCCTGGAAACCATGACCCAATTAACGCCCTTCCTTCCACAATCCCTACTTGTTTAGCCCATAATGTGTGCACTAAGATCGAGTGTTCCTAGCCCAAGCCAGGGGAGGACTCAACATCATTATTATCATGGTTAGTTAGAGCTGCCATGCGAGATCCTCCAGGGAGCCACAGGCACATCATGCTGGAAATCAGGAGAAGATGAGAGCCAGTGGAGTAGATTTTCTTTATCCAGTGAGAGCTATGACTCTTCTGCATCCACATCCCAAGTAAGGAATATTTATTGGTTTGGTGCTGGATTGGGTGATTTCAATATAGAAAAACCAGTCTTCATATTAGCATCATCAGTTGCTGGGCAGAGATTTACTAGGAAGGTCTTCTTCTGAAACTCAGAACTTCCATCTTTCAAAGGGGTATTTCCATTTTGTCTGTGAAAAGTCTGATCCAGTTATATCTGAACAACTTTAATTAAGCCACTATGGCGAGTCATCTCGGTGCTAGCAGGTAAGGCATCCACCTGTTCAATTCATGTGATACTTGAGGACAGAGTGAGTTGGACAACTGCATGTGTGGATGTGCTTAGGGATAAAAGGGATGGCGAGTAAAGGACTCCACATCAGGACAAGTTTAATCTTGCCTTGACTGTGCCTTGACTGGGTATTGTAGATTGGGGATATCATTAACTTCTCACCGTTGAAATGAGGGCACTGCAATCTTCCAAGCACTTCAGTTTTGCTGTGGTTTTGGAGATTCCCCCCTCCCCCTCCAAGAAGCAGGGTTCCAGTGCAACTGATGATACAGCAGAATTATAACTGCTGATTGAAGAATAAAGTCTATACTTATTTTTTTCTCTGTGTGTGTGTGTGTGTGTGTTTATGTGTTCATTTATTTGTGCTGGTCCTGAAACTTGAACTCAAGTCCTGGGTGCTATTCCAGGGCTTTTAGTGCTCTACCACTTGAGCCACAGTGCCACTTTTCTGAGTAGTTTATGGAAGGTAACAGTCTCACTGACTTTTCTGCCCAAGCTGGCTTCAAACCACAGTACTCAGATCTCAGCTTTCTGAGTGGCTAGGATTACAGGCATGAACCACCAGTGCCTGTCTATTTTCTTTAGTTTTGTGTTTGTTTTTTTAATTTTTAAATTATCTTTAAATACTTGTACAAAAGAGTTTAAACTCAGCATGTCACTTTGTTAGTACACTGCATTTTGATCAATGTCTCCCCCATCTCTCCCACTCCCGCTATCCTTTCAATTTACCTGGTTCTATTTTCACATGTGTATATTGAATATTATGAGTGCATTCACCCACACTTCCTCTCCTTCACATTTAGGGATGTGGCTGATAAACTATTCAGAGGTAGTTAGTTAAATGAATGACAGTATTTCTAGTGTATTTGCTGTCACTGATTTCAGTGGCTCCTGAATACACATAGGCACTAGGCTGAAAGGAGGCCATCCACAGGGAATGAAGTTCTTAAGAGAATCTTTGCACTTAGCAATAGGGAAAGAACACCCTCTAAAGCAAACTATACAGATGCTCAGTGATCAATACGGTACTCAGAATCAGCCTTAGACACATCTCTGTTCTAAGATAATTGTAAAAAGTTTTTGATCCCTCAATCCTGCTTTCAAACATGATTCTCTCATTTCATTGAGGATATATCCATTCATTGTTTCATTTTACCTGCTTTACCTAGGGAATGACACAAGGAAGTCCTGCTAATCAGCCGGTATGTGCTTGATTCAATAGTTTCTACCGGAATGCCACCAATAAAATCAGCATCAGAGACACCAGATGAAGACAGCATAGGAAACCTTGGACTTAAAATGTCTCTATGTTTTTTTTTACTATATTAATTTACTAGAATGCACATACTGGTAATGAACACTCACTATCCAAAGTGGAAATGAAATTTAGAACAAATGTGTTATGTGTCATGTTGATCATTTTTCAAAGAAGGGCAATAAAATTGCATTTTTAAAAATCTACATGTTTTCTTTCAGGCTTGAAAGAAAACGAATCAGCCTATAAAGATCCATAGTTTATGAAGTAGTGGACAGATAGATGATGTCACAAACTGGGAATTATGAAATATATTAATTCAGAATCTGCTAGTGGCTCAGAATAATTTTGAATGATGTATCTGAATTTTTTTCCTCTCACAATACCAGAAAAATGACTATAACAACCATATTTTTATTTATTTTGGGATAAACAATGAAATGTATGAAAATCTGTCTGAAGCATGATTTTTCACTCCATGTTTATTTGAGGAAAATATAAAACAAAGCCTTGTGACACAAGGCCAGGTTGGATGGGGATGGGGAGGGTGGCAGAAGGTTTGAATGCAAAAGAGCCAGGAGAGAGCGCAGAGCAGATCTTGCAGTCTGCACTGGGCTTCCAGCTCAGGGACAGGGGCTGGGGGAGCCATCAGGGAGGACAGGATCTGCTGGGCACTGAGCAGGGATGAAGCCAGGTCCTGAGAAAGCGTTACTTCTCTCTGAAGATTTAGAGCCAAGCTGGAGTGATGTCATGAGGAGAGGTAGGAGCAGAGGTCCTGCCTTCCCAGCTGTCCACCTTCACTTCAGCTCAGGAGTCCTGCAGGAGGCAGAGGAGAGTATGTGTCAGGACCTAAGCCAGAAAATGGCTTCTTTTCCCTTGATAGAACATAGCACTACAGCATGTGGAAGGAGGTGAGAGGGCTTTCAACGGGCCCTCAGCAATGCTACTTTACAGCACAATTGGGTTTGGGTTTCTGTTTTGTGCCACTACTGAGGCTTGAACTCAGGGCCTGCACATTGTCTTAGCTTTTCTCCCTCAAATCTGGCACTCTATTACTTGAGCTACAGCTCCACTTCTGGCATCTTGGTGGTTAACTGGACTTAACAATCTCATGGACTTTGCTGCTCTGACCAGGTTTGAATCAGGATCCTCAGTTCTCAGCCTCCTCCGGAGCTAGGATTACAGGTATGAGGCACTATGGCTGGCTATAGCACAATTTTTTTTTTTATTAAATGCAGAGTGGGCCTGGGGCATAGCTCAGTGATACTGCACCAGCCTAACATTCATAAGGACCTGAGTTTGAATGTCAGAACCACAAGAGCCCAAAGAAAACAAAAAAATAAACAAAAAAGTACAGAGAACATGGTTTAGTTTATATTTCTGATTGATTAAAAATTTGATTCCAATTCTTTTGTTTGGGGGGGGGGGTCTAGTCCTGGGCCTAAGCACTGTCCCTCAGCTCTTCAGCTCAAGGCTAGTGCTCTACCACTTGAGCCACAGCGCCACTTCCTACTTTTTTCTTTTTTTGCTTATGTGGTGCTGAGGAATCGAACCCAGGGCCTCATGCATGCAAGGCAAGCGCTCTACCACTGCCTTCCCAGCCCTCGATCTACTTTTGATAAATAGAAAAAGGATCAGACTCAGGAAGCAACTAAAAAGGCAGTACCCTTCCATCTACTCAAATGCTATGTTACAAGAGCTAGGAGACCGCATAGGGGCTATCTAAATCTGCTCTCTTTGTTAAAATGGAAAGATAGAAAAATCAAGCAATTCTGTAAATGGGTAGAGACAGAAGATGACAAGCTTGTCTGGAGACTGGATGTCCTAAAACTCAATTGTTGTTCCCGTGTTTCAGTTAGAACCAGAGACAGCTCCATAGTTTAGAATACTAAGCAGCACCTCTCTTAGCCACTGAGAATCATTGCCTGGTTGGAGGCTGCCAGCTGACATAAGCACATGTATTCTCTCAGCTCAGAAAGAATACAGACAGCAGATGACAGCTGTAAACTTTTAAGTGTCCCCTCCTGCATTTGGGGTAGGAAATGTTTTCCCTCTAACCTTCTTCTTCTGAAAGAAATCATTGGTAAAACTTTCATCTCCCTCCTTTTCAGCAGACACCATGCCATGCCTTTCATGAAGCTTAGGGAGACCCTCATGCATTCTCTGGTGAGAGTTTTTTTTTTTATTTTTTATTTGTGAACATACTGTACAGAGGGGTTACAATTGCATGGGCAGGATAATGCGTACATTTCTTAACTGGTGAGAGTTTTAATATTTCTTTGACATTTGCAACTGCATGAGAAAAGAAAACTTCACACAGGCCCATGGACCTCCCCAGAACTAATCTGAGTGTAGCCACATTTCTTATCCTAAAAAAAAAAATCTGTCAACCATGATTTTCAGCCACCAGAAAGTTCCTTACCTTATGAATTCCTGAAGTAGACAAACAGCCCTGCACCCAGGAAGAGCAGCCCCAGCACAAAGCCCCCAACGCCACTCATCATCTTGC